ACAAATGAAAATACCACATCAAAAATGTTCTCTAGGGATAGATATACATTCTGACTCTATAATCAGAATATTTAAAAATAACAGTTCTTTCCAGTTGCAAGGAGGTAAAATGAATGAATTAGTTTCAAGAGGGATATTTATATTTGTTGTTCTCTTTCTTTGATGGCATCATGTTTTAAAATTAAGTATGACCATACACAAGCTCAAAATGAGGTCCTGGGATTTTGATTATTAATCAATGGAAATTTTCCAGCATTCCAAGGTGATGATTTATAGCCTGCATGTGAAAGACCTCATGAATAGACCTTTCATTACAATTTCCTCAGAATAGCAAACTCCCAGCTGCCCCTTCCAGTAGAGCCCATGATTTAACTCTGGAATTTGTTTTGACTCACTGACTATAAAGGCAACTGAAAGGAACATGAGGGAGTCATTGAAAAACTGCAGGTAAAACCCACTTTAAGAAAGAGGGGGGGAAAATCCATCTGAGTAAACAGATGAAACATACCAAATACTTATGATATAACAAAAGGATTCTTCATTTTGTAAAGGGCATTATCTCAGGATTATTTTATTTAAAGATTTTATTTATTTATTTGAGACAGAGAGAGCGAGCACAAGCAGGGGGAGGGGCAGATCAAGAGGGAGAAACAGACTCCCCTCTGAGCAGGGAGCCCAATGTGGGGCTTGATCCCCGGACCCCAAGATCACAACCCCAGCTGAAGGCAGAAGCTCAATTGACTGAGCCACCCAGGCACCACTCTCAGTATTATTTTAAATCGTGCTTCACTGACAACATTTTTACTAATGAAAAGTCTCCTATATTAATTAAAATAACATGGCTGTTTTATAGGAGATTGTCTGGGACATCAAAGAAGATATGGAGCCTGTGTTGGGAGACTTGGGTCCACCGTGGTGTTTGTCCAGAGACTAGGTCTAAAACCTGTTGGCTGAGTCTCATTAGACAGGACAAATCAGTCAGAGCAGAACAAATGGTGCTGATGGCCTTCACTGGAGCTGCTCTGTGACTAAATGTGTGATTTATTTATGTTTCCAAATGAAGCCCTTTTTTATTAAAGGAATAGTTCTGTTAATTTTAAATTATCCTCTTACTGCATTTAACTTCGTTGACTTTAGGTATTTAGAAAATGGTTTGCTTCCTGACCTGAGAGGGTTCATATTCCCAAGAAAATTAAGCCCTAGACAAGATGTTACAGAAAAATGCATAGCCTCACAGTAGATATTTCTGTTCCAACGATAAAAGCATTATTTTTCAGTATGCTGAAAAGGGAACACAGGTGAAATGGTTTTTTCTTTATTTTATGACTAGGAAATACTACAGAGAGGAGACCGTCACTAGCTCTTGAAGGCAATCTTTTTAATATGTGGATTATTGCTACTGATTTATTTTACAAACATGGATTATCTTTACACTTATCCATATACATTTTAATTAAGGTAAATTTGCAGAGAAAGGATAACTTAAAATGAACAACTAGCATCTGAATCCTTTCCAATGAAAAGGGAGGACAAATTCTTTGGAGAAATGACATCTGCTAAGACTGGGCTGTCCAAAACAGTGACTATTACATTTAAATTAATTAGGATTCAATAAAATCAACAAGTTGCTTGTCGCACTAGCGATTTTTTAAGTGCTTAATAGCCACCAATGTGGTAGTGGCTAGTGGTTAGCACATTGGACAGCAGACATATGGAGCACTTTTATAATATAGAAAGCATTTCTCTAAAATGTCTCTAAAATGATTTTCAATGAAAAAATAAGATACATAAACAACAATAATTCACACACAAATACATACATTGCACATACATCAGTATTTCAGAAACACTGATAATGGAAAGGATCCCACCACTTAAAGAGTAGTAGAAAATTAAAAAAAGAAAAAACAGAACCCTCAGTTCGATTTGTAAAATCTATCAGAGAAGATGAATGGCCATTGTAAGGATAAAGAATGAATCTGCTTTAATGGAGCAGAATAAAAAGAGAAATACAGCAGGTAATTTCTAAGGTTTATTACAAAAGCCCTGAGAGAAGGACTTTGAATGTATATTTTATCTGTTAGCATTTTACATGTTGATGACTTAGAAGACTAATATTCAAATTATGGTTTAGGGACTAAAAGTGAAAAGCAGGTAATTGTCGTATTAAAACATTTAAACTTGATGGACATTACACAATCATCTGTGCTATTTGAAGCACCCTTTGATCCAGAATTTTTCTGCAGAAAAAATAAATTTTTTACTCTACATACAGGTAGATCAAACCGAAGTAGATCAAACCATGTAAATCAGTATCTAAGACTCCCAATATCCACTCTCCAACTTACTGGCTTTAAAATGTCTAAAAGAAATTTCACAGATAAGATTTTATATCATTGCGGTACAGTTAATCAAACCATTTATACGAATTTGTTTTTTTCTATTGTATCTATTACATCACCCAGATTTGTCAAATTATGGATTTGTCATGCTTGACATTTAATTTCTAATGAGCCAAGTCTTCCTAAAATCATTGGAACAGCTACCAATTAGAGTACATCCCAAAGAAAATGTGAAACCAACATGCACATGAAGCACTACGATTTATTCGACACAAGTATATTGGTAAGGAAAGTGGAGCAAACCTAATAAAGGGTCGTGAAAGCAATTAAACACAACCTGGGAGTGGATGGATCATCAAGCATAGAAAGAAATCTGGGGGGATCCCAGTGCCTTTCTGTGCAACCACCCAGGACCTGCAGTTGAGGATAAGGGGCGGGGACTAATCCAACAGCCATTGCTATTCCTGAGTCCTGAGATGCATCCTTTGATCAATTTGCATTGATTTTACTAAATTCTAAGAATGCAGGTCATTAGGTAGCTACATTGTGATGATCTATTGAAGTTTCTTTCCAAGATTCTACTGTTTATGAAAGAGCTATAAATAAATACTGCCTTCAAGTATGAAACTCTTGAGGCTACTTAAGATGTTTAGTATGTGAGCCATCACAGTTACTCATATAATCCTACACTCTGACATCTTTGTTACCACATTTTATTCAGACACACATGTTTATATTATTGGAATAAATTCTGTTTGCAGCAGAATAGTAACATCAATGTACTTTTTAGCTGTGTAGGTTTTGTCAAGCTCATACAAAGCCTGTCAAAGCTAACTATAAGTATTAGAAGGGCTCATACTTGTCCCACCTAAGATAGAAATTTTGGGCACCATGGAAGAGTTAAAAGGATCCCATAATGAAGGAGTTTCTTTCTTTTACAAGTAGTGGCACATAGAAATTACAGTTCTTGTGCATTGTACAGATAAAATAAAAGTTAGCTGCTATGTTCATCCCTAGTGCCGTTTTCCCACCCTGTGTTTTTCAGTTTAGCTCTTGATAGTTTCATTATACCTGGAAATTTAAACCTGAGGTCACTCTTAAATTTAAGTCATATCTTGACACTCAATAATGGTTGCCTTCCAGAATACCTTTTTAGGTGTGTAAAATAAAGAAGTTTTTGAAAATCTTTGCATGGGAACCTAAGAAAACAGAGAGAAGTAAGGCAGGATGAGTGAAGGTGTTTATCTCCTGTATTACTGGCCAGTTTGCCAACCTCATCTTTGCCTCCCTATGCTAAGATCTCCACAGGCCAGCATCATCTGAACATAAATCATTCCTAAAGCTTCCCTTTTTTGGCCTCTGCTGATCTGATTCTATTGCATTCTGCCAAGTGCTCGTAAAGTTGAATCACAAGCCTTAAATATGTGGAGTAAATTTCTTACTAAGCATATGAGGATATCAATTGGGTATACAAAAATTAACTGAAAATGAACACTAGAAATTGAGATCCCAAATTACCTGTATTTAGAAATCCATGTCCATCCAGTTCATCATTAGCAAACTCCCTTTTATTCTTCCCACACCCACCTCCCACTCCAAATTACAATACTCAATCAATTGGAATCAGAATGGGCTGAACCATATATAAATTATCCAGAAGTGCATAAAGTTTCTCAAACTTTAATGTGCACATGAATTATCTGAGGATTCTGTTAAAATGCAGATTCTGGTTTGATAGGACTGGTATGGGGTCCAAAGTTCTGCATTTCTAATATGCCTCTAGGTGATGTGGATACGCTGATTCACAGATGACACTTTGAATAGCAAAGTTTTAGAGCAGAGCATTATTGGCTTTCCCAAATTGTGAACTGCTTGCTATATTCCACACTTCTCATGTTGACTCGCAACTTCATATCCTAAAAGTTGTGCTAATTATGACCTTTCACAAACATCAGAAATACTATAATATGCATTACTTGGCTAAAATGAAAAAAAAACAACAAAATGTGATTAATCAGAAATGATAAATGCTATCTGTATTTTCCAATTAATTATTTATATTTCACTTCTGTCATAGTTGAAAATTTTATTAATAGTGCAATTTCTAACATATGAGCTATTAACTTTTTAATGACATTTGTAAAACAGTAATCAAATTTATGAGGTTTTCTCCTAAATTATGACACTCTCATGTCAATTTTTATTCCAAATTCATGAAGCATATCTAGTTTAATTGTCTGAAAAAAGAGATGCTGAAGGCATTTTTAATTTTTTTAATTTTGCCATTGACAGTTACTTATATTTTATCCTTTTATTATCCCACAGACAGAGAGACAAATATGTTTCTTTTCTTTTCACAAAAGGAACAGTTAGATGTTAGTCAAATAACTGTTCAAAAAGCCTAACACTGAAAAGGCTTATTGTGCTAGTTTATAATCAATTAAAATACACTTTATTTAGTTTTAAAAATTAAAGTAAATATAATATAGATAGAAGTATTTAAAAATACCTCTATTTTTCCTAAATTGTGTTTCTTGAGCTATATTATCTCATTTTTTCTTCTTAATTTTTAAAACAAAATCTTCAATATTTTCTTATTAACCATGCATGTTGTACAATACATGATCCCAAGAAATCACATCAAAATATTATGCTAACCTTCAAAGATGTGGCCGTGACCACTTTCAGGTGACATCTTGTCAAAAGATGTTTCCTTGCCTTTCTTGTCTGAATCATTCACAGAATCATCAGACTGGGTCCCAGGGTGACTCTTAAATGTTGGTGAACGTAAACTTCTCTCACTTTCCACTTCCTGTTAGAAGACATTAAAGGGATGTGCATTAAAAGCTATCAATGGGAAACAGATATTATTTTCATGGGGGTTAGAAGGCAGGAATGAGAGAGGAGGTGGGTTCCCATGACTGATGTTTCCAATATGCTTTGGGTAAAATTTTGATACCTTAGCCAAGAATTGCAAACACATATCTGACACTTAGTTTACTTTTCTGCCACTAGTTCGGCTTCTGAATTAGCTTTTCTTTCATGTGGCTTTTTTTGCTCTCATAAATGAGAGAAAGTGGAAATAAGGGTCACAATACAATGTAATATCTATTAATAGATGCAACTGCCTAAGACAAGAGAAATGCCCATGAGGGACTTCAGAAAAATAGCAATATATCGACATTATATGTTTAAGACAGAAGGAAATGAGTTTTTTCTTTTAAATGTCTTGCTCATCCCATAATAATAATCTTAGTTAATTACAGAGCTCCCAAATTACAAACCCATTCAGCCACCATATAGTAAGTAAGTTTAGCAATTCATAAAGATTGTGAAATTACTTCTTTGAGACAGTGACTTAAAATCGAAGCAATAAAAGTTTCCCAAAGGAAAAAACGATAAAGGATATTTCAGATAGAGGGAATCTAGTGTTCCTTATTTTATAGATTAAGTAATAGAATCTAATAAAACAAACCACATCAATCAGACTAATTATTTTGAATAAAAAATTGTAAAAAGCTAGTAAATGAGCTAAGACAGCTTGAAAAGCAAAAGTATATATTTTTTAAAAAATCAAGTAATATATTGAAAATTGTCTCAGTAGCTACTCATAAGTCTTAGATTTTTGTATATGAAGTTATAGTTTCTAAACAACAGGAATTCAAACAATGATGTGACAAATTGCTCTTCACTTTCATCACATTTAAAATATACTGGAATGAATGAGTTAAGTTTGAGAGACAGCCAAAAACTCTAAAACATTTCTTAGAATAGACATACTTTCTATGTCTATGATAGGATGTAAAGGCAAGGCTTTTGGAAAATAACTTTTTAGCATGCTTATGTTTTCTGATTTTCACATCCATTTACATATATATTATCATATCAAAAGTATATATCAATATATAATTAGAAAATAGTGGTGTGCATTTAATCATCTCATCTTCACTCTCCAAATACATCATGTATACCACCTTCATTACTGTGAACTTGGTCTGGAACTAAAAACATTTACAGGAGAAAAACAGAGGAAAAGGAGTTTGCATTTTTTCAGGGCACTGTCCTGAACATTTGTGCTTGCAACTATTATAAAAAACCCAAAGGTCCAACTTCATCTCGAACTAATGATGTAATGTATGGGGATTAACATAAGAATAAAAAAAAATTAAAAACAAACAAACAAACAAAAAAAAAACCCAAAGGTCCATAACGGGAGTGATGTTTATGCTGTTGAGACACAATGTCAGACATGCCTGGCATGTGGGTATGAGCGCCTTAGCTGGTGAACACACAAAGTCCTCACCTCAGTTCGTTCTGGTATCCTCTCCCACTGTCATGCAAAGTGATTGCTATGAACTGAATGCAGTATTCATCCACTTTTGTTTCAGCAATTTAACCAAAATCTTAGCATCAGCAAAAAAAAAAAAATAAGATAAAGAGAAAATGAAGATGATTCCTGTTCAGAAAATTTTGTTTTGACAAAGGGTAGAATGCTAAATACGGTCCACGGACCCAACTGATGACATGAAAAGATCATCTCTCTGTTTAATATAGAAACATGGTAATGTGATTTGGTGAAACTGTTCAAGAAAATATCTCAGCCAGTGATGACACTAACTTATGCTATATTGGTGTTCTCAACTTCAAATTCACAAATACCAAGAATACATCATATGCCGTGGTGGTAAAAGACCCCACAGTCAATATATGAATGCAGTAGACCTGCTTCCCAGCCTTGACCTTCAGATCCAAGTCATTCTGTGACAAGTTCCTTAGAGTAAATTCCTTAAGTCAAGTGGGAGAGAGGGGTTTGTGTAGGGGCATAAAGATCTTAGATAAGGTTGAACTGAGCTGTCTCTAATTACAGCAGTGATCTGCTTTAATCTCTTTTAATCTGTTTTATGCACTGTCTCCACAAAAGATTTACTTTAAGTAAAAATCAGCACGCTTAAATAAACGCAAAAACACCAGGTTAGAGGGAAAATAATGTAGCACTTGATGTTGAGAAACTTGGATTCAAGCCCTCTCACTATTTATGAAACTGTGTGGCCTTGTTTGAGTTCCTTGATGTATCTGAGACTAAGTTTTCTCATATGCTATGTAAAGAGATTTAGTCACATAAATATCTAACATTCAACAACCAACCATCTGTAGTGTAATTTTATTTGAAATAAAACAAAATAAAAAGTTATTATTCATCTTTTGTAGCTTCCACTCTAGTGAGGGAGACAATGATACAGCACATAAATCAATGTAAATATGCAACTATGTACAGATCAGAAAAGAGAAGTATATAAATAGTGAGTGTCTAATTTGGGGGAAATAACCTGCTGAGAAAGGTCATGCAACACTCCCCTGGGGAAAAGATCTGCAGCTGATATTTGAAGGAGAAATGGGGCTTAACTAAGTGAAGAACTTTCCAGGAGGTGAAAACAACATGTGCAAATGTCCTGGGGTGAGGGGAAGCTCAGTAGATAGAAATGAGACTGAAGCAAGGAGCCTGAGAGACAACAAGATGCTGGATGACCTGCAGGGGTAGGTAGAGGCTAGAATATGATCTGGAGGGCCATATTAACTATTGTGGTCCTAATCAAATGGGGAATTACTGAAGAATTTTAAGCAAGTGTATGTGTGTGTGTGTGTGTGTGCGTGCACGCGCACACACATGCATGCATATGCACACATGACATAATCAAGTCTGTATTGTGAAAAGCTCAGGCTTCCTCTAGAGTAGGTTTTTTCAACATTGGCATCATTGACATTTTGAAACAAACAATTCTTTGTTATGGGGGCCTATTCTGTGCATTGCAGTATATTTAAGAGCATTTCTTGTTTCTACACACTAGATGCCAGTATCACTACCCCCCACAGTCATGACAATCAAAAGTGTGTTCATATATTGCCAAATCTTGTGCAGGGAGCAAAATCACCCCTGTTTGAGGATAGTTCTAGAGTAAGATAGACTGGAGGAAGGTCAAAATATACATGGGAAGATCAGTGAAGAGTCTGTGACTGTGCTCCAGGTAAGCAATGTCCATCTTGGACAGAGTGGTGATGGAGATAGAGAGAAGTGAACTAAGTTGAAAGCTATGATGCAAAACTGACAAGGTTAGCTAACAGATTGAGTCTGAGGAGAGAGAATTTCATTTTTCTTTTTGGCAAATACAACGAAAGACATTGTAGTGCCATTAAACAATGTCAAAACACCAGAAGAAGGCTGGTTTGGGACAAAAGACAGATCATGAGTTTGGCATCAAGATGTCCAAATGGCATTTGGATGTGTAGTCTTGGAGCTTAGAGGCGAGGTCCTAACTGAACAAGCAATTTGTGAGTCATCTGTCTTTTAGTGGTAATGGAAACAATGGATGTGGATGAACTTGCTTCGAGTGTGCTGAGAAACAAGTCCAGGACCAAGCCCTGAAAAAGGCTGACATTTAATTTTACAGCAGAGGAGCAAAATCAGAGAAGAAGAAAGAAGAAAATCAGAAGGAAAGGATATCTTCAACAATATTGAACTCTTATTGAGAGTGTAAATTTGCTAAGGACTTAAATATATCCTTTCTTTTTAGCAACATGAATATAAACTGTTGAGCAAAATGATTTTGGTGGAAGTAAAAAGGTTGGAAGGCAGATTGTAGTGGGTGAAGGATTGACTGGGAGACAGTGAGTGTAGATAACTTCTTGAATAATTTAGTGTTAAAGTGGAAAGGAGAAATAGAGCAATAACTTGAAAGACATTTTGTGTAGTTTCGTCTTAAAGGGAGGGACTGCATATGTTGAAAAGCCAACTGGAAGGATTTAGTGAGATGGAGAGGTTGGCTATACAGAAGAGAGATGGAAAAATAATGATGTAAAACTCCTGAGGGGGGCAAGAAGATGGAACCCAACGCATAGATAGACATATTACCCAAAGATAGAGAACATAAGGCATTCCCATTATTACTGAGGGGAGGGAAAGTGACATTAATGTATATATAGATAATCTGTATGCCTGGTAGCCTCAAGATAAGCACACTCCTGTCTGACATAATTTATTTTCTCTGATAGGATGTGAGGTCTGATGAAAGTGGGAGGAGTATTTGAAAAGAATAAAGAAAGTTTAATTTCGTTGCTGTGGGGAATGGGGAAGTGAGATAGCAGACAGAGATGACCAGGGCTAATGCAGCACTGGGAGCTCATCTGGGGTTGGTGATATTAAATGTACAGGGCTACACATAGACCCTGTTAAGTGACTTTGTCTGAAAATTCTCCACAGTTCTACTTCAGGCAATGAGAAAGTAGGGAGCTGAATTCAGCCAGGTAGAGGTTTTGTGAGGAAAAAATAAAAAGAAAATGTGTGTTGCCAGGTAGGCTAAGGTCCACGTGGAGGGCAGGCACAAGAAAATGTAGGTTACTATTAAGACAATTAAGAGAGTGACTGGGAATGATACACCATGGAATGTAAGATGGATTAAAAGGGAAGAAAGTAAAGGAAGGGTACACTGGAAGACAGTAAAAGGATCAAAAGACTGAAATCGTGGTGAATTTAAAGACCGTTTGTACTGTGAATACTTGGCAAAGCAAACTGGAAAGAGAGGAGACCAAGATGTCTGCTTTAGTGACTTGAGAAATAGAACAGTTACAATGACTAGGATCTGGTTGTGACCACTAAAATGGAAGCAGAGGGGGTAAAGGAGTAAGTCATTAAATAGGAGAAAAGCTAAAAACTCAGAGGCTATCCTGGTGTCTCAGGATAATGGAATGGCTTGGAAGGCAGAGAAAGACTGTAAGTTAAGTGTCAACACTTCTGGAAAACAAGGGAAACAACCAAAA